ATTATTTTCAAGTTGTAAAAATGCTAATGATGGGAATTGAAGGAAAAAATATTTCAGTTTTTATAGCATCTGATACGAATGAAGGTCGTGATGAGTTAGAAAGATTACTTAATTCTGGTCAATATATTAACAACAATACAATTAATGTCGTTTATGTAAAAAATGATATGAGAATTCATAATCCCATGACTTTTAACCCTGGTACTGAAGCAAATGCTCTTATCGATATGAAGATTCTTAGCTTTTGTGATGATCTGGCGATTACCTATGGTTCTTCATTTGGATTTATTGCTGCTGGTTGGTCTTATACTGCTGTTACACGTCAAAGAGGTCCATTTGTTCTAATGCCTGTAGAAAAATCTCCTACTAGATATTTTACAGCTGAAGATAAAGTTTTGGTATGGGGTGCTGGTTCAAGTGAACCATGTATGTACTTGAGTAAATTGTTGATTAGACAAGAGGATAAAGAAATTGTCGATATTTTTAAAACAAATCCATTATGGTTACATTACAGTCAATGTCATTGGCCTGTATAGGTACTGTAATTAATATATCTGTGTGATTCATTATCTCAATTTTACATTATTAATTATAAATAGAGATTTGTTAAATAATTATCCTGAAAGTGTAGTAATAAAATGGTAGGCATAATCAGCAATTAATTATTTTCAATTCATATTTTCAATTCAATGCAGATACTTTAGTTTGCTTCAAATTAACGAGCAATTAAAATTCAGTAGGACTACGATATATTAAAGATGGAAGTTGGGTTTGATGATTTTATATAGTAAAGTCCTGCAGAAACGTTTCTAATTCATGCGCAGAAGCCATTTTCATAGTCAAGATTTTTGAGTTACAGCAATTTTTTAAAAAACTGTGTTATACCTAGAGATGTAATAAATTGGCTCATCAGCACTAATGGTTAATCAGTTTTTATTATAATTGGGTAGGAGTGGAGTGGAAGACCTTCCATATTTCTACTAAATTCTGATGATGTCCGGGTTCCGCTCCTGTAATGAAATAAATCTTGTTTTTGGACTATCGATATTTAATCAATGTATTTGGACATTTAAAAATGTACAATAAAGAGATGTGTGAAGATTAAAAAAATATATATTAGGCTATTTTACAAAATATTATACAACGATCTCAGGTTTAACAATAATCAGGCTTATGGCCATAATGTCGATGTGTTTGAGATAAGCATGACATAATTCAAATTCTTAATTTTAATATTATACTATGTAATAAGTTGCATGATGTATAGTTATAATTGTAATTGCAAACACCCTTAAGCTACTGTACGATTCGAATTAGTACATTACTATTGTATGTGATAAAATAGATTTTTTTGAGGGGTGTGCAAGAACGATGATTTTGTAATATAATTAGTAGGATCATTTAATAATGGTGGAATAAGATGCTAGTTATATTAATTTTATTAAATTTTGGAGCCTTTAATAAATACATCATGTGGTTGATACAATAATAAACAGTCATACGGGTTTTTAATTTGGATCCTATTTCAAAAATACGAATCGATTCAATCTTGTGTATGAACGATATAAGACACAATTTTTGATTTTAAACAAATTTGCCAATTATTTATTTCTGATTATTAACTTATTTCCTTTAATCATTTACGTGTATTCAATTACTGTACTTCTAGTTTATAAAATTTATTATCTATAAAAAAATTATCAAAATTATTAAATAATGCTAAATACACTAAAATTAAATAATAATAATTGTCACGGCTGAAGCTGAAAATTTTAAATATTTTAATATGAAATTTTTAAAAATTTTTGGGGTGCAATTTTTTAGCTTTTTTTTTTATAGTTAGCTTAGAATTTAGAGTTAGTTTTGATAATAAAAATGTATAAGTGGATTTTGGTAGGGTTTATAATTTTAAATTGTGGTCCCTAATTTCCAGCTTCAGCCGCGACAATAATTATTAAAATAAGAATAATTTATAATTACCTTTTTTATAAATTATGTTTTTAAATATCTTATTTTAAATAAGTTAATAAATGTTCTTTATACTTACTAATACCCTGGCTCAACTCTCTCACATGATTTTTGTCAGGAGGAAATTTACAACTGGTTAGTATATTATTTACT